TAGGGTAATCTTAAAAAAAAAAAAAAAAAAATCATTTTTTTTAATGATTGCTCTGGACGATTTCCAGCAGGTTAATTACCCCCAATTGTTCTCTGCTGGAGCATGGGGGGGCATTAAGCCAGCACCGGGGGGTTGGAAAGAGGGGCTGCAGAGAGGGGAAGCCGCCCCAACTGGTATGGTTCGCCTGATGGGAAGGGAAAGGGAATTTCTGAACTGCCTAAATTTTGTTCTGCGCGCGTTCACTGAGCCGTCGGGAGCGGGAAATGGCGATTCATAACAGGCGAAGCAGGCGCTTCCTGCCATCTGTGGCCAGGCCGTGTACTGCGGGCAGCCTCGGCTCTTTTTGCCCCTTTCACTGGGGCTGCCTGAGCTTCTTCAAGAGCCTAATTTTGGGGCGACACCTCCCGCCGCCTCCTCCTCCGCATGCCGGGAGCCGAGATGCCGGTGTGACCCTGCGAAATCGCCCCCCACCCCACCGTGCTTTTCGGCCCGCCGCCACGGCCGAGGAGAGGCGAAGCGGGTCTCGGGCGCAGACGATTCGGTCTTCCTGCCTTTGTGCACTTTATTTATGTACTTTCGACGATTCTTGGGCAACAATCGCTACCGCATCGGAGCGACGCTTGCAATAGACGGCTCTCGGTTTTAGCACGTCGCTCGGAGCCGGTAGTCTGCGCAATGGTAATTTTTATTGCCGGGAGTAGCCATAAATTGATAGTTCGGAATCGCTGTAGGGACTGTAATTAACTAGTTACTATTTCACCTCCAAAAGGAGCAATGTTTCACGCTCTTACTTTTACTTATCTGGAATCGGCCGCTGTCAACATCCGCTGAAGCCCGTATAAAGATTTATAGACCTTGGAGGTAAATATTGACTAATGGGCAGCTTGGCTTAATGTTCACCTTGAAGGACAATAAATTGTGCTATCGATCGAGGCGCGATGTCGATATCTGCATTGTTGTAAACATTTTAATAAAATTATCTCCATAAAATATTCTCCTTCTCAGGCCGATCCCGGATCGGCACCCGGCAAACGCCGCGGCGGCACGGCGTAGAAGGCAGGGCGGCGCCTCGGAACTGGCCACGGGACTTTGGGCGCCGGGAGCCGAGGGCGAGCCTTAGGAAATAGCGCAGTCCTGGGTGGTTGGGACGGCTCTCCCCGGTCCGAGGTGCAGGGGTTCAGTACGGGCCGCTAGCTTGTCGATGGCAATCTCTCTTAATGTCCCCACGGCGGCTTATCCGCGCCATGGGAGAGACATCGCTTGGTTATTTATAGCTCTGCGTTTTGGGCAGCTCCGCCGCCTCCGGCCCGAGGCTCCCAAACGCCACGGACCTCCCCGACTCGGTTACCAACGTGGGCCGTTCGTTATGCATCGAGTCTGTCCTGGCTGTTTTACAGCTCCGAGCCACGTTTTCACCCTTGCTCGTTCGCGCTCGTGCTTTCCCTTCCCCGAGGTTTTTTATGGAGATCCGCAGAGTCGCGGGTTCGACAGAGCGAGTCCTAAGCGGCACGCGGCGGTCCATGCGCAGGCTCCCGTCAGCAGAGAGGGCAGATTTGGGTTCTAGTTTTCCATCTCCCTGGCTCTTGCCAGGTTAGTTCGTCATTGTCGGCCGATGAGCAACAATTAGGCTTTTGCCTCGTCCGTGGCTGTTCCATTTCTGGCCTGTATGATATTAAGGGTATTAATAATAATAACGATGGGTGCTGGCTGTGCTGGTTTTCTAGCTCCTGAGGAGACGAGAGAGCTCTCCCATTAATTCCTGTGATATTTCAGCTCCTAATTGTGCTTGAGCAGAGACAGCCTTGAAAAGCTTCCACCATCAATTTAGGCAGAGCCAGACTCATACCTCCGGGGGAGTCGCGGAGCCGCAAGGCCCCAGGTCGGCCCCCACGGAGCGTCTCCAAGCTCCCGGCGCTTTTAGAGGCAGGGACTGCGGCCGTCGGGCGCTCGTCACGTCGCTTTAGCTCCCGTCTCTGGCAAACGACGTGATGCCAAAAGGGCCCGATCCAGGCGAGACCGGTTGGAGAAGTAATCCCCATCCAGAACCGGAGCTGGGGCTCGCCTCACTCCTAGGCCCGTGGGAGCTTTGCCCAAAGCGGCCTCCATGTCATCTCATGACCCAGCGAGTAGATGAACGTCTTTGCCACGCCTCACCAGCCCCAAGGGAGCCCGGCAGCCACGGCGACGTGGGCACCCGGGCACTTTCCGTACAGCGAGGTCCGCGCTTACAGATCACGTTCGCTTAACCCCGGCCCTTATCCCTGGGTCCCGCCTATTTGTTTTTCCATTTCTGGCAGTGACTCGTGAATGCGATTTGTCCAGCTGTCCACAAGACTTCCCACTACAAATAGTCCAAAACGCAGAGACCGAGTTGCTAAGAGAAGCGGCTTTATGGACCCGCTTTTCCCGTCGCACAGGAGGGGATGGGGGACGCGTCGGGCGACCCGCTCGCCCTGTGACCCCTTATTCCTTGAGATGCTGCAGCAGGTCCGAAGGAAGCG